TACTGTGATCTTGATTCTGAGAGCAGCTTCTGGTCCCTTGTGTTGAAATACATTGCCAAATGTATGAGGTCTCCTGAATTCATTCTAAATCCTCACCTTGCAATCTAGTTTTTATTTCCAAGTTGAAGGAGATAGAGAAGAGGAGCCCTCCCTCTGGCCTCATAAGTTCTTGAGCAAGCAGATTTTCTCTAGTTCTCCTTTTTATGAAGAAAAAATGGGTTAATTTTACAATAGGAAAGGGCTTTCAATTTCAACTCTAATATTCTAAGAACTAGCTGTGAACTGTTTAATTAGTGACCCATTCATACAAATTTGCAGTAAAACAGGAACTACAGGCTTTGAACCAGGATAAGTTGGCTGAATGACCCTAAAAGCAAGTCAACCATTGGAGCTTTGGTTCCACATTTTACTCTCACATGGAATAAGATTAACTGCCTGCCATGGTTCTTGTGTGACAGACCTCAATAGGATGAGGAACATGAAGTGCTGAGCAGAGTGTAGGCCACACTGCCAGGCTTGAGACCAAGTGTTCCTTCCTGTTGCTGAGCCATGAGTGGGGTTCTTATATTGTCCCTCTGTAACAGAGCTAACAGACAAGCCCATCAACTGATGGGAGGTGGTGCTCTCAAAACGTTGAACCCTCCCTATTCATACCATTCCCAAATCTGTTTTGGTTTATCAAGTATGTTGCCAAACATAAGGGGAGACCCTCCTAACCCATGTATGTTAGCAATTAGGTATTCTACCACCATGATTCCCTCCCCCGTCAGAGTGAGCTTTTTTAAGGGACAGAGTTTCTTAGTCATCTCTATGTCTCTGGTTCATAGTGGGTCTCATTGAGTGTTTGTTCAAGACTGCTCAGAGGCTGCCTACTCTCATAAGCAGATTTGCTTATAGCTTCTCCTCTCTAGCCTTCAGGCCCCTTACAGCTGGGATAGTGTCCAGGAACTCTCCCATCCCCAAGGAAGATATTGAATGCACTGGACATATGCTGGCTGATGGAATCGTTAAGTCAAGTCTTCATCAGCCCAGGTCCCAGGACATAGTAGGAGCTCACAGTAGTAGCCCAGTTCCTGTTATCATTATCAACACCAAAAATTAAAACAAAAAAAGAAAAGGAGGAGGAATAAAATAAAGATGGGCATCCAGTCATTCACTTTGGTGGGAAGTGTGGACATTGATTGGAAGACTATTTCAGAGAAACAAAATGGCCCTTTATTCATTTTGGGGAAGGGAGGAGGGTTAACCAAAGAGTCTTTTTCAAGTGTTTGCTCCATCTTGCTGCCACTTTACTATGTGTGGCTGCTGTTGCTATGGCAATTCTTTAAGCAATTGAATAGAACAGCACTGAGTTGTTGCAAACCAGCTCTAATTGCTCCCGTGCACCAGGCTGCCCACACGACCACTCTCTGAACAGCATTCCCTTTTTCAGATGCGTATTTTCATAAATCTCTGGGCATTGTGTAGCTCTCTTGCTCTTGTGACATTGCCATCTCAGGCAGAGGGCACAAGAAACAGCTCTCGGTGAGAGAGAGGGCGCTACCAATTTTCTCTGTGTGAAGGAGCAGTGCAGACCCCCATGCTCAAGGGGGTAGCAGGATGCAGGCTCAGCAGGGCCTTGAAACCAAATAAAGCATTTGTGGGATAGGTTTATTATATATGTTTGCCGTTATGAGGCAATTTAATCATCTTTTTAAAGTCAACCAAACCATTCCTGTGCCCTCCTGCCCTGAGGGTCCAGTTCACTGAATGGTAAGAACTTCTGGTTTTGACCTCATGTGACTGGGGAGAAGAAATGGAAGAAGTTGGCATGTATTGTGTCCCTCCTAGATGCAAGGCATTGTTCTGGACACTTTCTATGTGATCTGCCATGTATTTCACAGATATAGTGGGCAAAGGGTGAAGATGGGGGAGGAAGTAGTAGGATCCTATTACAGATGAGGAAACTGAAAGGCAGAGATTTGGAACCCACACAGTCTATGCACATGCAGCTGGGATTAGACCCTGGTTCTGACTAATTCTAAGCCTGTGCTCTTTTTCCTGCGCCACACTGTCTCCCAAGAAGGGGGCTGGCCTTTGATGACGCAGAGGAGGCAGATTTCAAGTAACTGTGTGGCACATGTCATTTAGCCAGCTCCCTCATTAGCATGCAAGGCCCATCTTTAAGGCATCGTAAAGTGTAAGGATTATAGTAGGAACAATTTTATCGTTAACTGTAGCTTCTTTTGAACACTGACCATCTATCAAGCTCCACAGGGCCATGTGGGTATCTCACTTATCATTTAAAAAAAATTGTTAGGAAACAAAAAACAAACATCCTGTGAATTAGATAGTACTCCCATTTCCCATTTTATAGATGAGAAAGTTGAGGCTCAGAGAAGGTAAGTGACTTGCCCACAGTTGTAACTATAGGGGTAGCAGAGCCAAGTCCAAATCTGACTCCAAAGGCCTTAACTACAAGGCTGCCCTTGCTGGGCTTATTTGGAAATGGATGCTCTACATGCATTTGAAAACTCTCCTGTCAGCATTCCAGGGAGCTTAATAGCCAATGGGAAATTTTCTTCCTCTTCCTGAAATATCTGTAAAATTAATTTAAACTTACAATTGACTAGTACCTAAAGACAGGAGCACAGCATTGGTATGAGGGGAACTGGAGGAAATGCCACCTGGGGAGAGCATTTCCATAGGAAGCCTCAGTGTGCAGGTCTGTGTTTACATTAAGAACTGTCTCAGCTGAGTCCTGCAATGTTAGGGTGATAGAATTGCATTTGAAAATTTTCTTTCTCCTTTTTATCATCTTTCTTTTTATTTTAATGGAGTGTGTATGATGAGAAGGTATGCCAAAAAAGAAAAAACTGAACACTATTCTCATAGAAATAAAACTACTATAGCAGCAGGGTGATTTTTCTTAATACATTACTCTGATGTGTTCACTCAAATGAGTTTTACTGAATACCTACTATGTGCCAGGTGCCACACTGGATAGTAGGGATGGAGTAATAGAACAGGAAGCTTTCACCTATAGAAAATATAATGTGACTGAAATGATATGAACTGTATCCATTGTGGGACAGTCAGAGGTAGGCACTTACGCTGTTGGTTAGTGAGCAACTAACTCACTGATGATATAAAGAATTCATTCTTTCCTTCTCGAGTTGGCAGACCCAGCCTATCAGCTATGCTGCCAGGTCTCAAGGTAGCTAGCTGTGTCACTTGTAGGCATTACATCCTGGTTACAGTTTCCAAAGGCAGCAGCTCTCCTGATAAATTCTGTTCATGTTCACCAACCCAAATGAAGTCATGTGCCCTAACCAATCTCTGGCATGGAATTGAGACTTGGGATTGGCTTAGACACGAACCCTCACCCCTGGCTTTAAGGGTGGGACCTGGAATACCTTCACAGGGAAAGCTGGGGATCCTGTTAGGAAAGAAAGAGGAGGGAATGAGTTGGATAGCAGCCAATTGTAGTGAATGTGACCCTGGGTCCTCAGGGAGCTTCCATTCAAGGGAAATAGTCATCAGGGGAATAGGTGTTGTTTAAAATGCTTCATTCACACTGAGAAGGAGGTAAGTAAGAGTGCTCTTCAGCGCATCTACTTCAGAGTGGTCAGCAAGGGCTGAAATTTCATCCAAGAGATGAGGGAGGAAATCTGCCAGCCATGTTGGGTGGAGGGTAGAAAATGCTCCAGGCAGAGGTGATCTATGGCTGATGGAATCATTAAGTCAAGTCTTCATCAGCCCAGGTCCCAGGACATAGTAGGAGCTCACAGTAGTAGCCCAGTTCCTGTTATCATTATCAACACCAAAAATTAAAACAAAAAAAGAAGAGGAGGAGGAATAAAATAAAGATGGGCATCCAGTCATTCACTTTGGTGGGAAGTGTGGACATTGATTGGAAGACTATTTCAGAGAAACAAAATGGCCCTTTATTCATTTTGGGGAAGGGAGGAGGGTTAACCAAAGGAGACTGCACACTGGAGGAACCAGAGGAAACCAGAGCCTAGGGTGCATCAAGTGAGGTGGCAAATGCCTGAAGTTGGAGATTTAGGCAGGGGCCAGGTCATGCAGAGTCTTGCAGGCCACAGGAAGGAGTTTGAATTTTATTCTAAATCAAAAGAAAACAGGCAAAGGGTTGTTAAAACAAGTGTGACATAATTAATTTTACATTTTAAAACTCTCACTGGCTGCTGAGAGGGGCCTTCGCTGAAGCACAGAGAAAATTAGAAGGTCACTGTGACCACCCAGGCAAGAGGCTAGATGGCTTGGAACCATGGCATCAGTGGAAACAGGGGAAAGAGCTTTTTCGGATATGAGATCAGTAGGAGTTGTCAGCAATGTGCTGGTGCATTCCCACGGCCTCTCTTCTCCAGTCTTCTCTGTGCTCCCACATAGTCATTTATCTTGTAAAATAAATTATTATGCCCACTTTACAAGTAAGAAATTTCCAAGAACTGGCCTGCATTGGTCTCAGCAGGTAGGACAAACCAGCTGGGGAGGAGAAGAACTCGGTTCTGATTCTGGGATAAGAGGCAGGATCCACTCAATTAACATTGCGTGGGGTTGTTTTCCTAGCTGAAGCCTTTGTTTTTGAGGGTGATATTTTGAGAACTGCTGTCTCCGTGGGAATATCTTAGTTATGTACAGTAGAGCCATCTCTGTGTCTACATTTTCTTGTTTAACACATGGCTGTCTTTATAATGAGTGCCTTCTTTATATGGGGTTATCAGAGTAACTCTGAATCTATTTTACAACTAAATTAATGATATCCAGGAAACATTTATTTGGCTCCTTTTCTATTTATAATATTGTTACCAACTAATTGCCTTTGAATGTTCCTACTTATAGGGTCCTTTGTGCTAGTTAAAATCCATCCCACGTAGGTGAATCCCTAATGCCACTAGGGCTAGCCAGTCACTTGTGAAGAAGATTCTCCTCTTGTTGGAATGACAGGAGCAATCATAAAAATTTATACCAGGGCAAAGGACCAGGTTGAGACAACATTTAAAACATAATAATGTGTATTTTTTTCCCTGATTACAAAAGTAATACATTTCAGCATAAGACATTTGGAAAAGACAGAAAAGCACAAGGAAAAAAGATAAAAGGATCATTCACATTCCCACCACCCGGAGTCAACAAGCATTAAATTTTGATACATTTCCTTTTGAATATTTTTATTTCTTTTTATATAATTGAATTCATTCAGTCAATACATGATTTTTCTTTTTTCATGTAATTGTGGGGGGCAGAGTTGATGTTTTGGGTTTTTTGGGTTTTGTTTTTGTTTTTCCTGGTACTGGGGACTGAACCCAGGGGCACTGTACCATTGAGCTACATCCCCCAGCCCTTTTTATTATTTTGAGACAGAGTCTCGCTCAGTTGCCAAGACTAGCCTCAAATTTGCGATCATCCTGCCTCATCCTTCCAAGTTGCTGGAATTACAGGCCAGTACTATGGTGCCTGGCACATCATATAATCATTATCACACAGATTTTCCTTAATTAGTTGTAAGTGATCATATAATTACTTCGCTTAAATTTACTTACCTGTTCCCCTCTTGAGCCACTTAAAACTTTTGTTGTTTTGTTGTATTGAATAATTTTATACAGAAAAAATCATTGCCATTTTAGAGTTTTCCTTAAAGTAAATTTCCATTAATTCCATTGCTGGATTAAAGAATATGCATATTTTCGAGGTTCTTCATACACTTGCCAAATTACTTTTCATAAATGTTTCACTATTGTTCATTCTTATCAACATTTATGGCCATCTGGGCTATAACTGGGAGTTTTTATTTTTTTTAATCTTTGCTAATTTAATAGGTAAAAACATTAAATTGTTTGAACTTTCTTTTTTTTTTTTTTAATTACTAGTGGTGTTCAACTTTTTTCATGTTAATTAGGCAGGCACTTGTTTTTCTATTATGAACCCCTGCCCTTTGTCCATGTATCTCTGAATGCTCTAGTGGTTTTTTTTACTATTTTGTTTTGTTCTGTCTTTTATTATTTTTCACTCATATTTACATAAGTTTTTCATGTATATTCAGCATTAACCTTTTTATAAGTTTATAGAAAAATACATTTTTTTTAGTCTGGGACCTGTTTTCTTCAGATGTATCCAGAGGTACAGAGTGCGCATCCCGTGCCTGTCACACAGCTTCAGCCTTTACTGTCTCGTCATGTTTTTTCCCACTCTCCCCATTTTTTTTCCTAGAATATTTTAAGGCAAATCCAGGTATTTCATTTTATTCTTGTTATATTAGTAAGCGTCTCTAAAAAGTAAAAATTTGATACTTTCTTATTTCCTTCAACTATTTTTTAAAAATTCAAACATATAGGGCAGTTGAAAGAATAGTACAAAGCATAGCCACTACCTTCACCCAAGTTCATCCATAATTAGTGTTTTACGCATTTATAGTATTTTTCTAAAAATTCACACTGTACCTTTTATTTTATTTTGTTTGTGTGTGTGTATTTCAATTCAGTTGAAAGTAAGTTGCAAATATCATGATTCCTTTTTTTTTTTTTTCCTTTTATTTGCATTTATTTTTTGTTGAATTTATTCCCATGCCATAAGTTTTTGTTTCTTTAGCTTCTTCTGGGATATCTTTTTCTTCTGTGCAACCTCCTCTTCTGGTTTAGGAACAATTTGTTCCTTTTCTGTGAGGATCATCTCAATGTGGCAGGGGGAACTCATGTATGGGTTAATCCGACCATGAGCTCTGTAAGTACGACGACGCATCTTGGGTGCTTTGTTCACCTGGATATGTTCAATGACCAGAGAATTTACATCTAAACCCTTAAGTTCAGCATTACTCTCTGCATTTTTAAGCATGTGCAGCAAAAATTCAGCACTCTTTTTGGGCCACCGGCCCTGTGTCCAGCCCCACTGTTTGGCCTGGGCACACCTCCCAACTCCACCATTGTAACGCCGGAATGGCACACATTGCTTCTTTAATGTGACATCTTTCAGGTACTTGGTGGCTTTTCGGATATGCATACCCTTGATGGCTTGCTCAGTTTCACAGGTGTTCTTAAAGTGAACACGAAGATTTGAGCCTCTTGATTTGCATGATTTTGTGGGGTTTTCCGGGTCAAGAGAGTAGCGGACCATTTTCACAGATCACCTCAGGCCGCTTACAGGAAGAGCAAATATCATGATTCCTTTACCCCAAAATATTTCAGCTTTTGTCTCCAAAGAACCAGGATACTATTATAATGATAATAACAAAGCCATTATTATTCTCATGAAATCTGACATCAATACAATGTTAGCTAATATAAATAGATAATCTTTTGTCTACATTCAATTCTCCCAGTTGACTCCAAAGTATTTTTTATAACAATCTTTCTGGGTTTTTTTCTAAATATAACTGGGCTCAAAGCAAGTATCACTTATGTATTTGGTATTATATTTCTTTAATGTCTTTTAGTCTAAATCAGTCCTTCTTGCCTTTTGTTTCATTTTGTCTTGCTCTTTCATGACACTGACAATTTTGGAGTGTCCAGGCAAGCTATCTTATAGAATACCCCACAATGTGGATTTTCTGACTGCTAACTTGTGGCTATTCTAAGTAAGCCAAATGCTTCATGTTCATCTTTTACATTTCCTGTCCCAGATCTGAAATCAGCCTTTTCTTTAAGGAGACCCAGTTCCTTTTAGTGGAGAATGGTACTTCTCTAAGTACCAGTAAGACCAGGATCCGGGCACCAGGTGTGTTTGCTGCTGCTTCAATTACTGACTCCAGGCCCTTCAGTGGATAAAGCCTGGGGATAGTACAGGCAAATCCAGACCCACATGGCTTCTAACATCCCGATTTCTGTACATTTACATATTGAACAGCCTTGGATTCACATGGTTGGCTTCAATTCCAATCCAACAAAGGAATCATTTCAGTTTCTTCCCCCTTATGGATTTGTGACTACATTCTACAAAGGTGAAAACCTTTGCCCTGTTTGCTTAGCATATTTTCTTATTTGTGTGGAACCACTCTTCTGTCACTACCCCTGCCTCCTTACCCTCCTTTGAGCTCTAGGGCTGAGCCTTCACTGTCTACTCCTCACACAAGTTGGATACCTCAGTGCAGGACCACTGCTGTTTCCTCCCTTCCCATGTGGACCTCTCCTTATCTCACCTGAGTACAGTTGCTGCCTCACTCTCCCACAAACACATGCTAATCTCCCTCCAGCTCTGACACCCTGAGCAGGCTGCTCTGCAGCTCAGGCCCCATCCTCAACCTGCCATCCCTTCCACATGGATGCCTTCTAGGCCCCATTCGTTCTCATTCCAGCTTCACCCTAATCCCTCACCTTAGGCTCTGACACACCATGCTGAGCCATCATGGTTACACACACACACACAAGAAGCCTACTCGGCCTTCCTGGTGATTTTTGGACTGGGGAGAGGGGATTCTGTTTTTTAGTGAAAATGTTTTCCTCTTATTCTAATCTGGTGACCTACACCTTTCATTCAATTAAGGCTTTGAGGATAGATGCTGGGCAAGGCTACAGTGAGGAGGGGAGGGAGATTTTGGATTGTCATGTAAGCTATATCTCAAGCAGGTGTCACGGTGGGAAATTCAGGAAATGATCAACAAGGGTATGTCACTCAGTAATGCAGTCATTTGCTTTCCAGTCACAGTGACTCAGATACATTGTCCTATCTATTCTGTCCATGAAACAACCAACTAGTTTCTTCCTACCAGTGGTCAAAGGCAAGTCTTGGTGTGTTGACTCTGGAACTGGATGGGGGCAGCATTAACCCAAACAATACTTCCAGTTCCTTGTGTAACCAGGAGGCAAGTTGCCTAACCGTTTGGGGCCTCGGTTTTTCCAAGAGTAAAAGGAAAAGATGGAGTGGATGATACCCAGAGACTTCCACTCTGGCATCCTCAGACCTGGGCCTTCGCTAGCCTTCTTAGCAATCAGATAAAGAGGTGAGGAACAGTGTAGCATGTAAGTCTTAGAGAATCTTCCAGTTGCTTCAGTTCTGTTCTGTCTCACCTGTCCATTGAGATTCCCCTAAAAACATGCTTCCTACATGTAACTTCCAATAACATGTAAGCAATGTGCAGAGAAAACTTCAAAAAGGACTTTTTGGGCTGGGGATGTGGCTCAAGCGGTAACATGCTCACCTGGCATGTGCTGGGTTTGATCCTCAGCACCACATAAAATAAAATAAAGATGAAAAATAAATATTTAAATAAATAAATATTTAAAAATATTCTCTCTCTCTCTCTCTCTCTCTCTCTCTCTCTCTCTCTCTCTCTCTCTCTCTCTCTCTCTCCAACAACAACAAAAAAAGACCTTTCTTTTACTACAGAGGACTGGTGGCTTCCAACCTGAGTTTTTGACTCTGAAGCCTGTGAAGTCTCAGCTTCTTCCCTGCTCCAGGATGATTCTTACTGGGGTGTGGGCTGAACAAGGAGGACTGGGAATTGGAGTTGACACAAAAACTTATCCTGACCTCTTAGTCCCAGAGCTCATATCAGAGCCACCCCACAAGGTGTCAGGGCCTCAAACTGACATTTTAGTAGTAATAGCTGAAATGATCCAAATTCCTATAGCCCATTCAGAGAAGCACTACAGTTTAGTAGTCATTCTCTAGTTTCTAGAATACCCGAAGTGTTTTAAAATATGGCAGCTTCAGATTACCCACATTGCACAACAGTGAGGCAAATACTTTCAGACACCTGCACATCCCATTTAATTTAATCCTTACAGCAACCCCAAAGGCATGGATTATTATACCCATTTTCCAGTTTAGGAAACGGAGAATTTGGCTGAGATCACACACCTATGAATGGCAGAGCTAGTATTTGAGCCAATGTCTGCTGACTCCAAATTTGCCCCTCCTTCCAGTGTTTCAATTAGCTATAGTCCTTGAATGCTGCAGCAAAATTATGTGCACCCTGTCAGGGGCTACCTCCACACATTCAGGAATCTTCCCGTTACCTCAGTTGGTAGGTGTCTGGCTCCTGCTTTGTTGAGGTCTGTGATGCTCCATCAGTGCTGGCTGCTGGAATAGCCAGTGGGCCCATGCAGCGAGGAAGGAGCACTGAAAAAAGATGCGAAGGAACTCTAGTCCCCACGATGCCGAGAAGGACACTCACCTTTCCTCATTTGAATCTACAAGTCCTAGTCCCAGGATGCTGTTCTTGCCCGAGATCTGCATCTATAGCGGCCTCTGAGCTTTCAAGTGAAGTGAACCAAGTGCCAGCCCATTCACTCGCACCCCACTCCCGTGGCCAGGGGCCACGCTCCCCCTCGAAGCCAGCACAAGGCGAGGTCCTCATGGGGCCTGGCCCTCTGCGTTCACGGAAGAAAAATGAAAGTTGCTTTATTCCTCGGCCTCTTCATGTCTCCCATTATGAGGAGAGGGCTCCACAGTGAGGAGCCGGAGCTGTGATATTTCTGCTTCAGCATGAGAGATTCATATGCTTGACTAATCAATTCTTTGGCACTGACTTCCTGGCCTGCATTTTGTTCTCTTGCTTTTGATCGTCTGTTTGCCTTTTTGCCATTCTGCTAGTTCTTGTTTGGAGCTTTTATTTTCCAGGAACACTTTGACCTACTCGATCCACTATATTCTTCTCCATCTCTCCTTTTGTCATTTTTCTCTCTGATTTTGGTTTCCCGCATGATTGACCGCACACAGCTTCCACATATAAGCAAAGTGGAGACCCCCAAGTCATGAGGGCATAATAACTGCTGGGTTTTTCTTGGGAAACCAAGAGACACTGGACCACAGACAGTCCCCAGCCCCCAGCCAAGCAGGGCAGCAGCCCTTCTGTCTCTCTCGTGCCCATTCTAGCCTCGCCCTGCAACATGTGATAGCTGATATCAGCTTGGTGCTCTCTTGTTCACAAAGCACTCTGCAATGCTCACAGGAAACTGTAAAGGAGGAGGTACAAACACTAATATTGGTCACATTTTCGAATGAAGAAGATCTTCCCCAGTGTTCAAAACTTGAAAGTGGCCGGTCTAGGGTGAAAACTAGGTCTGTCCTGAAGCCAGGCTGTGTCCTGCTGCTGCAGTTGTCAGCTGACTGCTGACTCCATACCAGCCAGCCTGTGCAGGGATGAGAGAGAATTCAGAGTCAAGAGGCACAAGCTTCTCATCCCCATGTAGTAAGCAGCCCTGGTGCAGACGTGGCAGCTGCCTCTTCCTGAACACTGACTCTGCTAGGTGTGGTGCTGAGCACATCACCTGCATTAGCCTTCCAATCCTTATGTAACCCAGAAGAGCACCGTGACTTCCAAAGGCCACTCTTCCCATGCCAAAGACAGGACTGGGCCCAGGTCTGACCACCTTGGACATCTGGAAGAGAGCAGAGGGGTTCTACTTTGGGAAGTCTTCCAGAGATGGGGACTTGCAGGATGAGTAGGGGCTTAGCAATGAGAGGAAGAGGAGGGAATCATGAGCCTTCTGCACAGCTTGCCTCCTGGCCTATTTTTGAGATCACACTACTGTCCTAAGTCATGTTTTATATCTGAGAATCTCAAAACTGGAAGGATTTGTGGCCTTGTTACCTGTTCCATGCTCAAGTCTCCTGCACAGCACCTCTCCCACACACACTTCCCAAAGAGTTTCTAATCTCTCTTGCATACTGGTGCCAGGGAGCTTCCTCCTGTTCACCTTTAAAATGTTCTTTTATTAGCAATCTGTTATTTCAGTGAAAAGCCTTGCCTTTAAACCCCACTCCCTCCATGCTGGGAAGAAGGAAAAAACAAAAAAACTCAAGGCTACAACCTTTGTTCTTAGACATAATCAACAGTGTTAGCCAGGCTATGCGTAGAACTGGGATCTTCTCTCTTTCAGGCTATGGGTAGTGGTATGGTCTGGTGGAAAGGTCATTAGTGTGGAGTCCAAAAGGCAGGGCCATATCTCCCAGTTATACTGTATGTTCTGATACAGATAACATTCCTCCTCTGCACCTTCACTTGTACATTGGGAGTAATAATCTGTACTCTGCCCAACCCATGTGTTTGCTGTTCACAAAAAAATAGCAGATGGATGTACATGCACGCTAGGTAAAGTGGGAAGTACTCCACAGTGGTCTTCCCACTGCTTTCTCTTGTGAAGGACACTGTTGGTCCTGTGCCCCTTTGCACTCACAGTCTGATTATCCCATTCCATGTGTCCTTCTATTAGTTTAGCTTTATTTGTGTATAATGTGTACAGAGATGTGATCAACAGATTCTCCCCACTGTCCTCGGCACCCAGCCACTGCCTGGATCTGGGGAAGATTCCAGGAGCACAAAGATCAATAAGGAATAGCTTCTGTCTCTGAAGAGCTCACAGTAGGACAAGAGAGACAAGAGGGAGACCATATGTGGGGAGGTGAGTGCACAGGGCCTGGGCAGTGTTGCTGGGGCTCAGGGGAGGCATGCAGTGTACCGACATTTCTCTTAACTTTGCTGAGTCTTGGAAGAGGCAACCTTGCTGGTTCAGGAGAAGAGTGATAAAATGTGAGAGACAGAGATGGCTGTAGACTGTTTGCAGGATGGTTCCTCTGGAAGGAGGTGGCTTCTCAGAAGTGAGAAGATGAAATAATTGGAGATGACCCTGACTGCTGAATGCAACTGGTAACTGAATGGAGATTTCCTTGGCCAAGGACAGGAACATGCAGGCCAATTGAAGGGAAAGCAGTGGGCTGGAAGCTGGAGTTTGAGGTTGGAGGGGCATGCACATGGTGGCCCCTGGTGTGCAGTTGATATGGTAGATCTTGAATTTGGAAGGAAAACCTGGCTGCCTCTGCAGGGTGGGCTCACCTAGACCTAAAGAGACTTTTGGTGCCACCAAGGGTAGTAAAGGGCCAGCCCCGGCTTGTTCCTCAGGGGTGTGCCATCCATCAGCAGCTCAGAGAAGAGACTAGAAAACCAGGCCATGAAGGGAGATGAGGCAGGAGCTGAGTGTTACCCCCATCCTGAACCTCCCATGTGGAAGACACTGTGCCGCTAGACCCTGATCCTCCCAGCAGCGATGACCAGGATTTCTGTTCCTGCTCCACAGAGGGGAGTGAACCTCAGGTTCACACAGATTTAGTGAGCTAGCTGGTGGCAAATAAGAAGACAGACTCATCTGACTGCACATCTCACGTGCTGTCTAAGACAGCAGGTTGTCACCTCAGGGGTGTCTCTTTTGGCGAACCTCTTCTACACGGTTGGGCCTCCTCGAATTTGCCTTGCTGTCTGCCAGAGCTGGCCAATTTGGGCATGATCACTGTCCAGCGGGTCTCTCGATTTTGCAATCCGCCCCTACCCCTGTGTGCAGTCACAGGTTTGAGTGTGAGGCTTCTCAGGTGTGCCACTCCTGCTCACATCAGAGGCAGGACCCCAGTACCCTATCAGGGAGATGCAAAAGGGCAGATTTTTCCCTCTTCACTCTTTGTTTCGTGTTCCATTCCTTCTGTCTTTTGGGGGCTGCTGGTACATTGTGATGTAAACATGCACTTTGTAAGTCATCATTTTACTTTGTATTTGAATAAACCGTGTGCACACAGAGTATGAGATGTTTGAAGGACATAGCCGGGAATACACTGCTCTGAATTCCTCTGACTTCAATGTTTTTTTCAAGTTTGAAAAATCTGTTAGGAAGAAGACAACATTATGATAATTGGAAGTTCAGTATATCCATCTTTTTTTCCTCTATTCTTTTATATTTTTAAAAATACAATTAACACTTCATACTTCACCTGGTCCCTCCTTGGTTACCTTTGACACCTCTTTGATATTTATTTAGATGTTTGTGCCACCTTCGCTTTGAATTCTGTGGTTAAGAGAATCAATAACTTTTAAAACAAGCATTTTTCCTTACTTCGAGATGTGCAATTAGAGAATTATCTACATGTGGATGTCCACTTGTCTTTTCTCATTTGTCAAAAGATCATGGCACAATTATATTAAAATTGTAAAGAAAAGCGATTACTATCAAATCAAAATACCTGCTGTGAAATAGTGGAAGCAGCTCATTTTATTACAGTTTCCAGAACAGAGCATTTCACTGAAGACGGGAAAACATATACAGAAAACTTCATGGGTGTCGTCTTGGAATTTACAAACCATGAATAATGCATTTAATTTAAAATGGCTGTATTTTTCGTAAGCATGTGTGAATGCAAATTTCAAAGATGTATTGGAATTTGACTCTCAAGAGTACACAGTATCATGCCACTGTTATCACCAAAAATGAAAGTTAAAAAAAAAAATTGCCTTTTGCCAAAATTTTACATTGGCCTTGGACCTGCCTAGTGTCACTGAGGCAATTTCCTTGATTAGCTCCATCTCACTTTGCCTACATGATTTGGGAGCTGTCACATAATGTCATCATTAACCCATTGCCGATGTGCTTGAAAAAGAATCCTGAAACTCTAGATGGATTTTGATGCTAGAACTTGAAAAGATAAAAGGAAAGTTGTTTTCAGAGTGAATACATTTTAAGAGGAACTGAATAAAGCCAAATGAAGTTTCACAGTACCAATGGAAACTGTTTTTTGACTCTCTGAACACTAGTTATTTTAAGACCAAAAAAACCTTTTCTATATTAATATTTTCTGCTTTAATTCATTTGGGAAGAAGTGGAAATCTCACATAACCAACTTGAATGGCTTTCAGCCTAGAGCGTTGCACATAAATGCATAGGGAATGAGTTAATATACTTAATTGTGACTATTGTTATCCTCAATGATAGTGAAGATGCAGATTTTTAAATTTTGAATCATTTACTCTATCAAATGACTTGTGCCATCTTTCTGTGGGTAGATAAGATCTGCTTAGAATTCCCTCTTGACAGAGGTTCTGGGTCTCTTAAGAGAAAGCACTAGTGGTCATGCACTTGGTCCTCTCAGCCCGGTCATTCATATGAAAATATATGTGTTTCTTCTTTAAAGAATATATAGAAATTTTGAGCCATCTGGGTTCTGAAGTTTGAATATGTGTTTATTCTGTTTGCCCTAAAAGAAGCCTGAACCTAAAATAACCCTGGGTTATCAAATTCTCCTGCTATAACTTTCTAGCAGTGACCCCAAGTAAGGAACTTACCCTCTGGAACCAGTTTATTCATTTGCGAAATGGATTTAATTACCTGAGTTGTTGTTATGAGGATAAATAGGGAAATATGTATTAAAATTCATAACAGCAATACTTAAGTAGTACAACAACAGCAGTACTTAAGTAGCCAGGCACTGCTTAAAGTACTTTACACGTTACTCATTTAATCCTCTCAGCAATCCTGCGAAGGTTGTTTTTCCCACTGTACAGTTGAAACAAGTAAAGCACAGAAAGGCTCAGTGACTTGCCCAAGATCACCCAGCTGAGAAGTGTTAGGATTAGAATTCTAATACAGAACATCTTGCTCTTACTTACCTCACTGTTTTCTCCTCGAGGAGCTCGGTATGTGCTTGTTGTATCTGGAACCTTTCAGCTCAGGTGCATGAAGGGGGGGGGGGCATACTTCCTCATGCTTGGAAGCAGCGACATTGTGGATGGTGTTCCTAGCCTGCTTTTCCTGATCCCAGCACTTGTCTGAGAGGCCACGGTGCTGGATAGAAGAAACAGCATCTCAGACCCAAAGCCATCCAGGAGCATCATGTCACTGGAGAATCTTTAAATATTCTATTTCTAAATTTCAAAGCTAGTTTGGGCTATATTTACAGCATTTAACATGTGAAAAATCGTTGGGAAATCGGGCTTTTAAGTGGAACGGTTGTGTAATGGAATATTTCACGTTCCGGTTCAGCCATAAAGCTCAGGGCTGATAAACAAAGCATCTGAAGCCAAATGGCTCCTCATCTGACCCCAATTAAAATAAAGATTTCATTCCATTCTGTCCTGACAGAGAGGAACATATTGTTGCCTTTAAGGGAGTTTGGTTTTTAGTTAATGAAAGAATTTTATTTCATTTTCTCCCCCAAATACAATATCTAATTAAATAAGATTCAATTTGTTAGGACTTCTGGTAGGAACGTGTTAACTCTTTTAAAGCTGTGTTGCTTACGTGCCTCAAGATGTAGAGGGTGCCTCTGACTCTCACTTCACAATCCATTGTTTAAAGAAGAAGTAAGCCCTAGCACCTTAAAGACAAGCACTCTTCTCCAAGGTCTATCTGTTTACACATCAGTCACAGTGACCTATGTATGTAAGTTGCATGGATTCTGTGTAAAATATCACATATTTACATAGAGCCCCATTTCCTAGAAGCATTTGTACTCATACATATTGTAATTTACCAATCACCATAGATCTGTCCATATAGAATCTATCACACAGAGTTGTAGCTGCTAAAATATGTTAGGTAACATAAGTTGGATATTGATGCCAAATTATCACGGAGTTCCTTCAGAGTTATCTTGAAAAAATATGTGACTGTTGAAAGACTTCATCATTTAACATTAAGAGTGAACACCAGCCAGACTATTTTTTTTGAGGAGGGGGGGGTCTTGTTTCATGCTGTTGCCACTTTATTGTAGCCTTTTCTATACATGCCATAGCTCATCATGACTGTCAGGTCCATAATTACCAACCAGGACACTTTGGTGCCATTGTGGAGAAGTTTGCTTCAACTCAGTGAGGCACGGGGAAGAACATGGATTGTGATCTCTGACAGGTCACCTCCAGGCCCCTGAGGAACTGCTCAGGTGGTCCACAGAGCTGCAGGGAAAGAGGACTGGCCTGGGCATCAGGAAGACTGAGCCTGGGCAAGCCCCTCCCTTCTCTGAACTTCAGTTTCATCATCTTGAAAATGACAGAGCAGGGTCAGCAGGTCTATGAGGGCCCCTTGGCTCTGCTGTTCTCAGATTCTGTATTCAGTAGAGCAGAAAGTACATGATGTTCTTAAATCCTCTAAGAATTTATAGTCAGATGCTAAGGATTTATGTTCTGAGAAATAAAGAGTCTTTAAGTCTATAAAACCTAAGACATTTAAGCCATATTTTTTTAAAAATTCTGAATGGCTCCTTCTGACATTCAGTGAGCTTTTATCAAGTGTTATTGAGCACTCACTCTGCGCAGGCCTAGTGCCTGGAGTGCAAAAACAGATCATTCACAGTCCTGCCTCTCAGGAGCTCACCTCCCAAAGGGGGCAGAATGCAAGCAAAGATGTCATCCTTTGCTAAAATGGATCCCCACAGTGTACTATGAGGGTGGAGTAGGTGGGATGACGTGAGGGGCAGGTGTCCTTGGGGGGATATTTTGAGCCTTGAAGGGTAAGTGCAGTTTCACCAGATGGAGAAAGGGAACTTGTTCCAGGAAGAGACACACAAGAATGAGGGGTGCAACATATTGGGGCAAAGCAAAGAGTTCCACGCCATTAACACAAAAGTGGGCTGAGAAAGGAGCAGAAGGGAGGGAGAGGTTGTGGAAAATCTAGACTCTATTGCAGTTCTGTCTCAAGGAGAATGGCCACTGTGCCTCAGACTAACAATGGGTCAAGAGACTCTGGGAGGACACTTGATTGGTTCTCCCTTGGAAATGCACATGTACCATAAAGGCTGTGCTATCCCTCCACAGTTGCCAATAAATCAAGCGCTGCTCCGCAGAGTTGCAATCAACAAGGGCTGCATACATGACAGTAGGCCCACGGGATGGTAATGGCACCAAGAGAGCCCTGTTACCTAGTGCTGTGGTGATGCTCGCATAAACAACCCACTGTGCTGCGAGTCATGTGGAAGTAGCACACGCAGTGATGGTCAGCACATGTACTTGATAATAAGCAGCGGTGTTACTGGTTTATGCGTTTACTGTAGTGTATTTTTATTAATTTAGAGTGTGCTCCTTCTACTTATTAAAAAAGTTTAATGTAGGGCTGGGGCTATAGTTCAACAGCAGAGCACTTGCCTCGCATGCATGAGGCACTGAGTTCAATCCTCAGCTCCACATAAAAATAAACAAATAAAAAAAAAGGCATTCTGTCCATCTACAACTACAAAAAAAGTTTACTGTAAAGTAGTATGCTGTTACGCCGGCAGCAGCCTCAAAAATCTTGTGTTTACACCTCTCAACTGCATCATTTTCTCTTGGACTTGATTTACTCTCATGTTATTCTATGCCAGCAAATCCATGTGTGTACATGTGTATATATATGCATATACACAGGCACACAGGCGTACACACACGCACACACACACAGAGACCATATAGTCTAAGAACATTCTGTGATGTTGGCAAAACCAAATCACCTAATGACATTTTTCTCAGAATGTATCCCCATTATTAAGTGACACATGACTGTACTAAACCTGGTTTAACTAAGTGTCTCCTACTGACTGAACATGAAACCCTGCTGAGGCAAAAGACCTACTGGAGATGGGGAGATCCACTGGAGAATGATAGTCAGTAAAAATACAGGATTTCATCAGCATTTTAAAAGATTATCTTGGCCTGCCAGAAGGATTGGAGCCCGGGAAAATGGCAGAGGAGGATATCACCAGTATTAGAAGGTATACATCTGCTTACACTTGGAGTCATCCAAAGTCTGTTTCAAGGAGAACCCCCTCTGAATAGACTGTACCAATAGGTGAGCTGTCCATGAGTTCTACAAAGTCAGGTTGGCCAGATGCTAACAGTTAAAGTCACCTGTCTGGCAGTCTTTCAAGAAACATACATAACTTGACTGGTGCAGAGTGGATTTGGTGTTAGGAGGTTGGAGGCACAAGATGAAGATGGTTCCTTGAGGCCATTTGTTACAGGTCTCTGTGCCAGGGTCTGTGCTAGTTTCTTTTCCTTGAAGTCATCTGAAGAGGCATTGCTGATGTTAAGCTTTGACAGGAAGCAAAGGCATAGAGAGGGCAGTTGACCATCCCAAGGTCACATAACTGGTAATGAGGTCTCAGGTCCATCTGACTCACTCATGAATCCAGGATCTTAATTGAATTAAACTGCCCACCCCAAACAGCTCCCATTTAAAAACACTGCCAGGCTCACTGTATGAAGCACCTATGTGAATTGTTTAATTTGCTCTCCCCAAGCAGCCCTTTGAGGTAAGTGGTATTATCCCTGCTTAATCAACGAGCAAACAAAGGCTTTGTTAAATAACCAGGGTCTCAGCTAGACATTGCAAAGGCAGAAATTTAACTTCAGTCTGTGCTGTCACTACTCCCCCTAAAAAAAAGTCCAGAAAGTGGTTCATACTGCTCAGAAATATTTCTCTGTAGACATTACAAATTAGCGGGCTCAAAACAGTTCAAAGATCTAAATGACTTTAATCCATAAATCTTAAAAAAAAAAAAAAAAACACAGGGCAGACGCTTCAAAACATAGGATTTGGCAGTGACTTCTTGGATACAATACCAAAGGCACAAGCAATAAAATTAGAAATAAACAAATGGGGACTGGGATTGTGGCTCAGCGGTAGAGTGCTCACCTAGCATGTGCGAGGCCCTGGGTTTGATCCTCAGCACCACATAAAAATAAAATAAAGATATCGTGTCCAACTACAACTAAAAAATAAATATCTTTTTAAAAAATGGGATTTTGTGAAAATTCAAAAACTTATAACATCAACACCATAAAAAGTAGGAATAGTAGGAAATACTGATAAATTATATACCTGATAATAATAATATTCAACAATAGAAACAACATGATTCAAAAATGGACAAAGGACTCGAATAGACATTTCTCCAAAGAATGTGTACAAATGGCCAATAAGTACATAAAAGGATTCCTAGCATCACTAATCACTGAAGAAATGCAAATACAAACTACAGAGAGATGCTGCCTCACTCATTTGAATGACTACTGTCAGAAAAGGCCAGAAAATACAAGAGTTGACAAAAATGTGGAGTTGTGATTCTTGTGCACTGTTAAGGACAATGTAAAATGATATGGCTACTATGAAAAGCAGTGTGGCAGTTTCTCCAAAAAGTGAAGATGGAATTGTCACATGATCCATCTGTCCCACTCCTGGATATATACTGAAAAGAACTGAAAGCAGGGACACAGATATTTATATACCCATATTCATAGCAGCATTATTCACAATATCGAAAATATGGAAGCAACACAAGTGTCCGTCAGTAGATGGATGGATAAGTAAAATTTAGTATATACATATAATGCGATATTGTGCAACCTTAAAAAGGAAGGAAATTGCCAAATGCTGTGGCACACACCTATAATCATAATCCCAGTAACTCAGGAGGCTGAGGCAGGAGCATTGCAAGTTCAAGGCCAGCCTCAGGAACTTATCAAAGCCCTAAGCAACTTAGTGAGACCCTATTTCAAAATAAAAAATTTTAAAAAAGGGCTTGGGATGTTGCTCAGTGGTAGAGTACTCCTAAGTTCAATCCTCAGTACAAAAAAAAGGGGGGGCGGGTAATCTGAAACATGCTACACACATGGGTGAACCTTTAGGACAGTATGCTAAGTAAAATTAGCCTATAATAAAAAAGAGATAGTATCTGATTCCATTTATAGGAGGAACTTAGAGAAGTCAAAATCATAGAGGCAGACAATAGACTGGTGGTTACAGGACAGGGGCAGCAGGAATGGGACACTATTAAGTGGATAGTGTTTCCTTTTACAAGATGAGAAGAAGGATGGGGCTGAATGGTGGTAATCTCTGCACAACATTATTAAATACCTGAAGACTGTACCCATAAAATAGTTACAGTAGTGAATTTTATGTATATCTTAGCACAAATAAAACATGGGACAAAAAAAAGAGAAAGTTTGTGGGCTTTTATTTTTGATGCACTCTGGGGTAAATTGATTCTAATGCA